AAATTTTCATTAATTCTTCCATAAATAAAAAACCATTCAAACTTGCGATTCAACCCCACAATCAAGTTCTAACAAATATTTCTAATTTAACTGTAACTAACCATCAAAGTTACAAGTAATAATTAACTTTAGAAAAAAAATAAAATTCCAAAATCTCAAATCTATGGTTTCATTAAAATTTCTAAATTTTAATTTCAAACTTAAACCCCAAAATTAACAAATCTAATGTTTGAAAATGGCTTACTTATGAAATTCTATATGGTATAAAATTTAGAAATGGCCTACTTGTGAAAAATCAAATATTTTCTTTGAAAAGCTGCTTGGGATTGATTCCAAATCAATACTCTCCCTAATAGGAATGCTACTTAGCAATGAGCTTTCTCCCTTAGTTGTAACTTTCCTAACTCTTTTATTCATATTTTACGAGACTATTATGATGCTAGGGAAGTATGGGAAAAATTAGTAAATTCTTCCAAGCACAATTTTTTTTCTCTTCCCTTCATGTGCAAGATTGGAGAATATGGAATGCCAAAAACGACGTAGGAAGTCTGTCAATGTGAAGATTGCCCTTGAAGAACATTTGGAAAGCAAAATACCAAAAACTTTACTCTAAGGATGCTAGCTTGGACAACAACATCACTTTCTGTAGTACACACTAAATTATCAACGATCTGAAGCTTCAATCCAAACTTGACATTTTGAATAAAATCAACACTAGGCATAAAGCTAGATGGAATCCTCCTAATCTTGGGTAGGCTAAACTGGACATTGACGGTTCGGTCAACCATAATGGTGTAGCTACCTGTGGAGGACTTATCAGATATGACAAGGGTAACTAGATTAAGAAATTCTTTAAAAATTTCGGTTATCAACCTAGCATAACAACTAAACTTATAGGAATTTTGGAATGACTTAACATGTGTTGGAATGCAAAGATTTTCTAAGTGAATGTTTACTCTGATTCTATAGAGGCACTATCCCTTATTGAATGTAACTTCACTTATAGCCATCCTATCTCAGCAATTATCTGGAGTATCAGAAATCTCACAATGAGGAATTGGGAAATCACCTTTGACCACGTTTATAGAAAAGCCAATTGTTGCGTCAATCTTCTAGCTCACAAGGCTTCAAGATAACATTTTGATATTATCTTATTTGACAAACTGTTTGCGGACTGTAGAAGCCTTTTGACTTTTGACATGACCTGATATTCTAACATATGGCCCATTTAATATGGCCAAACAAAGATAATAGCCAAACATTTCAAATATTTTGTAATGTGGTTGGATTAATATTTAGGTTAAATTGAAATGACAAAAATGGCCCTTCTCAAATCTAAATATTTTCATTCTCAAATTTAAAATATATTATGCCTACTAAGCTAACTATGAGGTATTCAAAGTGTTCAAATATTAAAGCGATGTATAGTAGTTACAAGAGTTTTGCTATTCTATTAAACTAGTTTTTTTATTTGTTTTGGGGATAAAAAGTGAAAATCGTACCCTAGCTTATTGTAAATGGGCCCCACTCTAGAACTCTCAAAAACTTCTTCCATAATTTCTTATTAATATATTTTTCATGGCATGTAAATATTTTTTATCATCCTTATTTTTTTCCAAATCATAATTTTTTCAAGAACATGCTTATATTGTATTTTTAAGATATTACATTAATATATTTTTATTTTAATAATTTTAAAATTACTTTTTAATTTTTTTGGGTAATAAATTCAAAAATAAAGTAAGGTGTTTATACTCATAGTATGCACAAAAGTAATAAATTGTAAAAAAATACAAATTTATTATTAAAAAAATTTATCATATATTTATTACTACATGGATAACAAATAATAAATGTTTTGTTTTGAAACCAGATCTATTTTTCCTGGCAATATATATATATTTTTTGTTTATAAGACATAAAATTCCTTGTTTTATTGAAAGTAGAGGTTTGTCCATGTTTTTTAACTCTATTATTCAGAATGTTTTACACGGGGAAAAGTGCGTTATAGTATTTTTGATAACATTCATCAACTCTACAAATAAGAAATCTATGTTTATGTTTTATTTATCTCGAGCTTATGCTGTATAAAAATATATAAACACATTGGACGAGTGTTTGATCTTGCTTTTAACTTGATATTTTAAGTTTTATTGGTTTATTTTCAAATTAAGATTATTACATTTGATGCAATTATTAATTGTGCATTAATATGATTTCAATATTATGACTTATTGACCAATATTTTCTCTTATTTTTCTAAGAATAATCATGACTTCTTGAATTATATTTTGTTCCAATTAAAGAAAAAGAGAGATGCATGGATGAGAGTTATTATTTTGTGAATTTCACATGAATGACTTTCCTTTCTTCTTTTCTCCTTTAATTATTTCGTCTTATATTATATTAAGCCATTTCAATTTGGGTTTTAATGCATATGCTCTTATTCTAGAAAAAACTGACAAAATTTATTAAAAGAATAATTACAATGTATAATGACTATACTAAACATAGATTGTACATTGAATATAATATAGGAGTTACACTCTTCTAAAGCACAAATTTTTCATAAAGAAACATATCCAAGTAATATCTAAAGACAAATAAAAAAGAGTTTTTTTTTTTTTTTTGCTAAATCTCGTAGATTGCATGGGACATTTTCTAGTTTTTAATTATAGTATTACTAGAATTATATCAATGTTTAGCACATAAACACGGGCAGATTATGTTGTAAATTTAGGTAACATGAGTTTTAACTTCCAAAATTACTATCAATATTTCATATTGTAAATTTTTGACTTAAACGAGTCAGGTCCAAAAGTTTGAACCAAAAAAAAAAAAAACAAAGCATAAATGAGTAACCTGACGAGCTTAATCCATATTTATCTGTTATTTATGGCTATACTAATATACATAGCTCATGGGGTTATAAATTTTAGATTAGATTATATTCCTATAAATTGAATTCATTGAAATCTTCTCTTCTCTATATTAGCCTTACACTGTAACTTAGGATTAATATTACATGCATCACACGGGTATAAAATATAATTGCATAATAAAAATTGATTTCAGACATTAGACATTTAATATCAAATAATAATTTATTTGAATTACTTGATTAAAGAAATAATTTTTATATTTTTATAATTTTTTAAAAAATCATATTTAATACTCATTCCAAATCATAATATAAAACAACTTTTAAAAGTATTACTTCATTCAAAAGATAGAGTATTGGATAATTTTTATAATTATTTTTTTAATCATATACCAACTTTATTTATTATTTTTCTTGAAATAATGCATTAAAAATTTAATTATTATTAATAGAACTATATTGTAAAATATGAAATGGAGATATAATTGAAAAGATATAAAATTTGTTAAGAGATTAAATTTTCAACTTTTTTTTTTTTTTTTTGCTTTGGGGGAAGATTGCCTTGTAATAATGCTTAATTTCTCGTAGAGGAAGTATCAACTTTCCAATTTCTAAAGTGAATAGTCATTCTTCCATTATTTTAAAGGGACAACGACAAGAAAAAATTTATATTAATTAAGAATTAATTATTATTAAAAGCTGAATAAAAAATAAATCCAAAATTATTATTGTTAGAATGAATTATTATTAAAATTTAATGAATATTTTATTAATAAAAAACTAAATCAAATCAACAAGTATCCAATCAGGTTTTGATATCTAATAGTCCTTAAGACCTTAATTGATAATCCATTCGATTCTATTTATAAGATATTTTTTAAAAATAATTTTTAGTTCAAAACATAGGACACCTTATAATAATTAAATCACTTTTTTTAATTTTACCTCTTCTTTATTATCATAAAAGTATTTAATATAGTTATTGTTTGCACCCAAATTGTGAATTTAGATACCTAAGCTCAACTCAACTTAATTGATTTTAAAATAATTAAAAAAATATTTATGAAGTCTTAGCTATTAAGTCTAAACCATATACACTCTACTCATGATGAATGACCACGATGGATGAAGTATTTCTTAAATTTAAGAAAGGTAGCAATCATGAGGTTTGGCTACCAAGCTAGAATCATATATAAATAGAGGAGCTCTCTCTCAATAAGAATCATTATCAGCATCAACAAACTATCAATGTCAGACTCCGCGTCTGTTGCTTTATTTTATTTTTTTTCTTTTATCATATAGTTTTAGTCTTTATTTTTCTATTGTAAGGCAGGTATAACCCGTCACCTCTTTCTTTAATTAATGTATTTTTGCTTCTCTGCATTTACATTAATTTTTTCACTTTGCATTCTCACATTTGGGTAAACAATGGTAAGGGAGTCTAAGTTCTTCATGTTTGATTAGAAGTCAGGTTCTTCCATCCTTTTGAGACTCAACATCTCTATCACGCCTCACGACACCTCCTTTTTGTTTTTGCCAAGCAATTGTAAAGTCAATGATAAAAATAAAAGTATATCTTACCATTTTATGATATAAAAAAATAATTTTTTTAAGATACGTCAAATGATTAAAAGCAATGTTTTTAGAACCGTACAGGATATTGAATCGGAAAGATCAGTAGTTCACAGTTCGCATGGTCCAACAATGGTCGAACCGATAATGTAATAATTAAATTAAAGAATTATATATGTATATAATAATCTAAATATAAAAAATAAATATAAAATTATTAATTAACTTAAAAATAAAATTAAATATTTTAAGTTTATTATGACTTAACAAGTCACATGATATAATATAATATCAAATGATTAAAAAATTAATTATTTTTTAAAAAAATTTAAAAAAAGAAAAGGGACATTTTTTCAACAACTTAATTTTTAAAAATTGAAGTAAGTTTTTAGTCTAACTATCGATCCAAAATTATTCAATCTAACTCAACTCTTCAAATAATTCTTTTGACTTATCGAGGTGTTAGCCTAACCCGTGGACGCATGGTTTGGTCTCATTTTTTAATCATTGATTAGAAGTGTCTAGTATAAATTTTATTCAGCCGCCCGTGATTGATATTTCCCGTTTTAAAGTTCTTCACTGCCTGGGGAAAAGGCAGACAGCACGAAGAGCATGATTGTCCTCCTAAGCCATCGCCTTCAATAAGTCGCAGCCTCCGGTCTCCGGCAGCAATAATCCAAGTAAGCTTCATTCTGTGAAACTTCTGTTCTGTAATTTTACTCATCCGGCGAAGCCACGACGTACGGCATGGCAAAATTAGCACCTGAACAAGAAGGAGAGAGTGATAGGATTAGCAGCTTGCCAGACCCTCTGCTTCACCGCATCCTCTCTTTTCTTCCCATAAAAGAAGCCATAGCCAAGAGCTTGATCTTGTCCAAGAGGTGGACTCCGCTAGGGCTAGCAATGCCCGCTCTCGATATTCATGACACTGGCTTTGCTACTCTTAATTCTTTGATTCAATTTGTAGATGCAGTCCTGTTCTTGTCACATCCCAAACCCATAAACATGTTTCGTCTCAAGTGTCAGAGGTTCCAAGTGCCTCCTGTCAGGATTAATCTGTGGATTAACTTTCTGATGAAACGTAGAGTTGAGCATCTTGAGCTATGTTTTGCAGATTTAAATTCTTATAGTCACGTTGATGTGCCTGCTTGCATTTTCCACAGCAGTACCATTAAGGTTTTAAAGTTGGCTAAGGTTAAGCTGAATGTTCGATCTGTTTATTTGCCTTCACTCAAAGTATTGCATCTGGTGGAAGTTCAATTATCAAATGCTGAATCTGTGGCTAATATCCTTAATGGATGTGCTCTTCTTGAAGACCTGGTATTAAAATCTTGCTCTGGTCCTTCTAAAGATTTCAAGTACCCCAGGATTGGAAGGTTTGAACATTTGGTGTCGGCAGAGGTTCAACTATCTTGGGTTCCGTTGGCAGCTTTTAATAATGTTAGGCTTCTTCGGATTGAGGTACTGATAATGATTTATACAGTAGTAATTTTTTGAAAAAAATTTATCATTTAGTTCTTATAATTATAACTTAATTTTAACTCAATTCTAATTCAATCTTATAAAATTTTAATCTTTATAATTTTTGTAAGGATTAATTTGTCGTGATTTTTCATTAAAAAAATATATATCAAATTTGATAAAAAAAAAAATCAAATTTTTATTGTTATTTTTTATGATTTGATATCATGATTTTGTCAAATTAGGACGAGCAGTTCTGCAGGAGACTATCTTTGTCATGTCTTCGGACGACATTTTATAATTTAACTCACCTGGAATTCTCATGTCTGACGAGTGATGTAGACATTCTCGTGACATTCCTTCGAAAATTCCCAAAACTTGAAATTCTTGCTATTCACAAGGTTTGTATATTTTAACTTAAATTTGTGCTGACAGTACTTTAGTTAGGTTTTTAACTGATACGCGTATTTATGTTTCATTAGCTGGATCCTATTTTGGAGCGAAGTTCGGTGAAGTCAATGCTTGATGTTCCTCAATGTCTTTCAACACATCTTAAAAAATTTTGTTTGGGTGAATATAGAGGGTCGGAATGTGAGTTTGAACTTGCAACATTTATTATGAAGAACGCAAGTGTTTTGAGAAACATTTCCATTTGCAGCTCTGCAAATGAAAACGCAGATGCGAGACTCCAAATGCTCATAAGATTATCATCATGTCCTAGAGGTTCATTGAATTGCAGGCTGCTGTTCAAGTAAATTTTTGAATTGTAAAATGCTTTTGTTTGTCATGTTTCTTTATTTCTTTTTATTTTGGCTGATTTCCCTCTTGGCTATATCTTGGACAACATTTTACGCTGGACACTTAATGGAACTCGTTTTAGTTGTGTTTTTGTTAGATGTGAGAAGATAATATTTATATATGGACTGTGCAGCTTTTTAACTTTTGTTTAATTCATGTGATATCCTTCTTCTTGTCCAAATTATAAGACTTTTTTCGTCAACTAGATTTGTTCAAAATATAAGATATTTAGTAATTTTCAAAATTATTGTTTTCAAATTTATCCTTGTATTAATTGGTGTGGGGGTATGAAAAATATAATCTGCTTCTAACTCTACCTTTCATAATAATGATGGGAGCATGAGACTAGACTTGGATTTAGTAGCAAATCTGCTTCTAACTCTACCATTGATGATATTATTGAAACTAACTATAAATTGTAAATGAATCGCTAGATTATAGACATTGTTTGTTTATTGGGGGATGCTCCCCTTCCTTTATTTTGATCCCCTGAAAATTGAAGTTTTGTTATAGGAAAGCCAAATTTCTGGACTAATTTACCCTTATGCATTTTGTTATATTCCATTATTGTCCATGTATGAAAACAAAAGAACCCGATCAATCTTCACTCTTCAAACTCTCATTGGTGTTTGTTGCCACTCTTGTTTTTGTCAAGCATTCTTCGATGAGTTTTCCTTTGCTCTTCTCGCCAGCCTTATTTGGATTTTTAACTGATTTAAGGAATTTTTGGTAGACGATATGTAAGTACTCTATAAGCATGGGTGAGGATTTTGGATCCACTTTCATGAACAACAAAAATGACCTCCCCACTTCAAGCCCAAATATTATTATGCATTAAGAAGATGATTATATAAAGTTCTCTTCCTCTTTACAGATATTTCAAGGAATGAACTCAAACCAATTTGCCAAAGCATGATGATGGCGTTACATGAGCCTGAGAATTAAAGGGATGAACTTAAACTACTCACATCAAGAACGTTTTCTTTTTTCTTTTTTTTATTTAACCAACATACTCAGATCAAGATCTAAATGGTATACTATAATTTAACGTATATCATTTATGCTAATGCTAATGTGCCTTTCTTCCCCAAAATCATTTGCAGCAACTTGGGATTCACAAAGATATGACAAGGCTGCCAGATATTAAATTTAATAGTCACTCTAACGGTAAGAAACATAAAAATTAAATTGAGGGGAATAAAAAATAAATAATATTAATGGATGTGATGTGAACGCACAGGTGACACACACCAAAACAAGATGTTAAATTTAAAAGCATAATACTTTAAATCAAAATACGATTCCTACATTTGTAATTCTATTAATTTCTCTTCCTTCGGAACTTCAAGGAGCGAACTTAAACCGATGGTCATACCACAAGGTATCACTAGCAAATCATCAGAAACAATGAAACATGCGGTTTCACGACGATAACCAGTGAAGCGATTTGAGAATAGCTTGTCGTCAAAGTCATACGCTACATCATTTCCATAGTACTTTTTCACTGGGTTCATTGGATTCAGCAACAGTCCTTTATAACTATCGGAATTAAAAAACTTGTAATCCAGATTTCCTACACTTTGAAGCAGCGAGGTTATGCAGTTAAATTTGCAAGCCAGCAGTAGCACAGAAGAGTCCTTACTCATGTGGAGTTTAGGAACAGTTCCGAAGGGCAACAATAAGATGCTTAAGAGAACATCAACCAAGTCCTTCCCTGCTTCAGCAAACGGTACTCTTTTTTTCTTCTTGTCTATGATCAGACTGAGTCAGAGAAATCTGCTTCTGGATCTGATTTTCTGTTGGAGCCATTATCATGAAGAGACAAGAGTCCTGAAACACTAGTTCAATGGATGGATGCTACAGATCATTATATATGCAGAGAGTTAAACCTGAAAAGATGATCCAGCCCCAATCTCATGATTAGTTAAATGCCAAACTCAACACTCTGGGAAGTGAAAAGTTATGCATTGGTGATCTAATTTCATTCAGAACGAAATATAGACAGACAGTCCAAGGAGGATGAATGCAAAACTTTTACCCACAGAGCATCGAATTTGGATCAGATAAAACGGATGATACAGACAATGCATGACATTAGTGATCAACATCCTTCTCAGAAACCATGAAAATGACTTGTTGATGGTACTTGCTGTATTACCAGAATTACAAGAATGTTTAACACCCCTGTAATATCATGCTAACCCACGACTCGTACAAAGACTAAAAGAATCTCCCCATAAAATTTAAAACACAGCTCCCTCTTAGCTAGACAGTGTTTAAGGTGATTTTGGATATAATCTCTGCTTTAACTTCTGCTATTCCAAGTCCATGAAGGAGAAAATGCTCACTGTATAACTTCTTGAAGGTTAAGCTTGTTGGAGCAATTATATTTTATTTTCACAATCAAAAGTTCAGAACAACAAAAATGTCGGAAAATTAATATGATGCTCAATATATCAACGTAAATTATAAAGTTATAGCAAGCTGTAACTATGTAAAAATCGGAAATACTGCGGTCCATTTTTCAATATTTGTATCAAAAAAAAGTGTGCCCAGTGATATACCATTACTGCTCACCTACTTGGTCATGAATATTGGAGCGAGACCTAAGGGTGTTCTCTGCAACAAGCTGAGCAAAAGATGAGGACTTGGTCTGCAGCAGTCTTGCTGGAGTGCCACTCTCTTCAATTACTCCAGTGTGTTGGCGCAATGAAGTACTATAAAATCACATCATATTATCATGAATAATACAAATTTGGAAAAAAAATTAATACTAAAACAGAAATCCGTGGGAGAAGCAAACTTAAAATTGTAAATCACATCGCCTCCCCTGAAGTTTTGAAATCTATATTCAATATGCACCAGAACCAATGTTGAATGTAAAAAAAAAAACAAACAAACTACACTTGCTCCTTGCTCAGAAACATTCCATTAACTTCCTTCAGTTGAAGCCTTTACAACTAATGATTGACCTTTTGGTGATTTGTGATTCATTCAATCAGGTTATTAAGTGTTTCTAGGAGGAAAAGTTTATGTAGATTTTACTAACAGAGTAAGATCTGTTGTTAAATTCATTAACAGAGAGCAGGCTTTGGGATAAATTAAAACCGAAAGGAGTGAGTTTAGATTTTATCTCAAGGTAGATAAATATTGAGATAAAGTGCAAGTAAATAGTGAGAAGTCATATATCAAATAAAATTGGAATGAAGGAGAAGTATATAAATAGAAAGAACTCAAAGACTTATTATATATGTATCTTGAGAGAAATAGTGCAAAATCTAATTATATATTTCTGGTCAAATAAATCTCCTTGTGTTGTGTCTAAAGCTCTGCAGAACCCTAATAATAAATTAGTGTAACATATTTAACTTAAAAATACCTACAAAACTGAAGATGCGCATACAATTATAATAACATTTCTTTGCTGACCTTGATTGAGAAGGAGAACCATATCACTGTCAAGAACAGAAGGAATCCGATGAGCAACTATAATGATTGTACTTTCGGAGAAGTGCTTCCTGAGAGTTTGCTGAATCAAATTATCAGTAAATCTATCAACTGAGACAGTAGTTTCATCAAGCACCAAGACCTTACTTCTCTTGAGCAAGACCCGCCTGAGAAAGACCAGTTGCTTCTGACCTATGCTCCAATTCTCTCCGTTCTCTAAAAATGACATTTTAGCACAAGCAATGAAATTCTATTTCATGAATCAATGTTCTATTAATTCTGAAAGACCAAGCTTCTGAAATTGTTATGACTCTTTAGCTTCAGTCCCCAAAACAGTGTATGAATGGTTCGTTCACTAAATACAACAAACTATCACGTTAAATTTTTTTTTTTTTTGTCAAGCGGCCCTGGAATGTCGGATGGAGTAACGTGGAATAACTTTGTTATTCCAGAGACTAGCTCAAGCAGTTATTTGGAGGACTAAAGCTAATTGGTCTTACAGTCTGGGAAACGAATTGCTAGTTTTGTCATTCGAAAAGTTTAAGCCAAACCTGAAAGTGTCTAGCTTTCCATCTTTGCTGCTAACCTCATCCCCAAGCTGATACTAATCCGAAGCGTGAAAGATTCTCAATGGACGAAACCAATACCAACTTAAGTAATAGACAGACTAGAAGGCTAAGTTTTAAGATAGATCCCAGTGTGTGTGTCAGGGAGTTACTGGATAAAACCAAATCACCTCCCAAATTTCACCATCTCTGTACTCTTCCAGTGGGTCAACAATTCGGAAAAGTGCTTGTATAATTGTTGATTTACCACTTCCAGTTCTCCCCACGATCCCAGCTTTTTGTCCTCTAGGGAATAAGCATGTCAGACCAAGTAATACAAGAGAGAAATGTGGAGCATAGCTCACCTTCATCATATACATCATTGTTAGTGTCTAACAAACCATTCTTATAAAAAAAGTTTGGGGCTCTTTAACTTGTTAATAAAGCAATTTAGGCCCTTTAATTTCTCAATGGAATAATGAAGCACTTCTAGTGTAGTTAAAACAATATCAGCTATCTAAATATCAGAAAAATCAGCTAAATATAATACTTAGGAGGTTCAAAAGTCACAAGAATAGAATTTTATATTGGTATTGAGTTTTAGGGATTAGAAGTGCAATTAGCAAAGTAATAACAATTTATGTGCGGTGGCTTTCAGCCAAAGGGAAATTCCAACTTGCAAGATTTTGTTTGGCATCATAAGATGCAATAACTGAATTTAACAGCAAATTATGAACATCAACTTGTCCCAACAATGGCCAAGAACAACTTCGTCGGCTTTCAGCTATCACAAGAGAAGGTTCACTTGGAATGCAAGCATACTGAAATATTCTTTCAATTGATATAATTTTGTTCTCCATGCTGCAAAGATTCCATATCATCCAGGTTTGTGCCATGTTTAGATTAAGTCCATATGTAACTTCTAAGCCAGCAATTCCTTCAGTGTGTATATATATATATATATATATAGAGAGAGAGAGAGAGTAAGGATTCGTGTTTCTTTAACTCACTTGTAAAGCGGAGTAATCATGGTTAAGATGCCAAACATTAACTCCTTACCTGGATCTATGACTCCCTTTGGAGTAGATACCAAGAAGATCAAAACAGAAGGCAAATGTGACAGAAGACAGCATATCTAAACGGAAGCACAACCATTCCATTGCATCAGAAACATGGAATCTTGGGCGAGAATAGCCATCCATCAGTTTCATATTTGTTTCTTGAAACCTAGACTCTTGATTGAAGCTTCTGATGGTTGTTGTTCCTGATTGTCTCTGAAAAATGTTGTATGATTGGAGCCTTGCATACTCCAGCTAATCGTTTCAATCTCATGCTAATGGTAAATAATATTGTTGCAGAATTATTTGTCACCTCATAGATGTCATATATCTATTCAATTTGATTTGAAGAATCTATCACATACTAAATATTATAATGAACTTTTGAGTGAAAATGGTCCTTGAGAAAGTATTAGAGCCGCTATTACTAAGTGGCCATTAGTTCAATCTTTCCCATCTCACTACTCCTGACTAAATGAAAATTCAACACAAGATCAATCAGTGATTTGTCCATACTTCAAGCTCAAAAGGTTTTAGTTTGAGAGTTCGTTTTCACGGGCCAGAATTTAGTAACTTAAGCTTTTGTAATGACATGGCCCTTGATAGGAACAAAGACCTGGATAAAAAGACACTTGGTTTATGAGTATTACAAGTGCCAGCATCCTAGATCACACACAAATTTTACCAGGCGCAACTTATTAAACTGATTTCCTAATATTAAGAGATTTAACGGTCAACATGTAAATGGGTTAACAATAGGGCAACATTGGATTCTTTTAAAAAAATTTAATGTATTTTTGTTCTTTAACCCTAAAAAATGTCAACTTTCATTTTTTTTTTTTTTCCAGAAATTGAACCTGTTGAATCTTCTCTTCTCCATATTCTGTTATACTATAATTGAGGGTTAATATCCCATGCAACTCACGAGCATAAAATCTAGTTGCATAATAATATTTGATTTTATACATGAGACAGTTAACATCAAATAACAACTTGTCTGTATTACTTGATTAAAGAGGTAAATTTTACACTTATAATTATTTGAAAAATCATATTTAATACTCTCCAAATTATAATAATATTGGGCATTTTTAAAAAAATCTTGTTTGATTCAAAATATTGAATATTGAGTAATTTTTATAATTATCTTTCCAATCAAACCACAACTTTATTAATTATTTTTAAAAAAAAATAATGCATTAAAATTTTAATTATTATTATTATTATTGAGATATTTTTAAATAATATTAAAAGAAAATATAGTTGAAAGATATAAAATTTATTAAAGAGATGAAATTTTTGAACTAATTTTTTGCCCTTAAGAGTGAGAGAGTCCCATAATAATGTTATAGGGGAAGTATCAATTTCCGAACTCCTTAAGTGAATCGTCGTTCTTCCGTTGTTTTGATCTTCTGCAGTACCTGGGAAAGGGAGCGAGCACCAAGAGCATGATTGCACTCCAAAGCCATCGCCTTCAAGGCTTCGTAGCCCTCCGGTCTCCGGCAGCAACAATCCAAGTAAGCTTCATTCTCTGAAACTTCTGTTCTGTAATTTTACTCATCCGGCGAGTCCCCGACGTTCAGCAATAATTTTTTCTTTCTGTTTTTTTTTATGAATTTATCCTTGTATTAATTAATGTGGGTATGCAAAATATAATCTCTCACTTTTCATGATAATGATAAGAGCATGAGACTAGAATTGGATATAGTAATGAAGCGACTTCTAATTTTACCATTCATTAAATCATTGAAAATAACTACAAATTGTGAATGAATGGCTACGTTATAGACTTTTACAATGTGGTTTGGTTATTAGGCGATGATCCCCTCCCTTTATTTTGGTCCTCTTCAAGTTGAGGTTTTGTTATAGGGGAGCCAAATTTCTGGACTAATTTACCCTCATGCATTTTGTTATATTCCATTATTGTCCAAGAACTTGATCAATCTTCACTTGTTAAACTCTCATTAGTGCTTATGTCACTCTTCAAACTTTATCATTGTTTTCATCAAGCATTCTTTAATAAGTTTTCCTTTGCTTTTCTCACTGGCCTTATTTGGGTTTCTATATGATGTGAGGAATTGTTGGTAGATAATACTTCCTTCGTCTCAAATTATATAGAAAAGATTCAGCGTCCCAAAATATAAGATACTTTGATAAAAATAAAGTTTTATTAATGATACTTTTTCAATATTACCCTTACCATATATTCTCTTTTTTTAATGTTCTTTTATTAATGGAGTATTAAATAAAGTGCATTTTTAAAAGTTTATATTTTTTTCTTAAAAAAGTAAGGTTGTAAAATGTATTTAATAAGCTCTATTGGTATGAGAGATTTTGTTTAAAAGCATCTTATAATTTAAGACGGAGGGAGTATATAAATACTCTGTAAGCACTGGTGAGGGCTCGGGATCCACTTTCTTTCATGAAAAAAAAAAATGAACTTCCCACTTCAAACCCAAATATTATTATGCATTTAGAAGATGATTATATAGAGTTCTCTTCCTCTTTACAGAAACTTCAAGAAACAAACACAAACCAAGTTGTCAAAGTGTGATGATGACATTATATGAACTTAAGAATTCAAGGAACGAACTTAAACTATTCAGATCAAAATTTAAATTATATACTATAATTTAAGATACATCATTTACACCAGTGCTAATGCGCCTTTCTTCTCCCAAGTAATTATCACCTTGAGTCTTCTACATCAACTTTTCTTATGGTTTTCCTCACTACTTTTGCCAAATCTTGCAACTCTACCTTCATTTGTTGATCAACTTGAAGCAATGGAAAAATGGCAAATACTCATAAATTACTTGTTGAATCCAAGTGAGAGAGAAAACATGAATCAAGTACATTATTAATGATTATAGGTTTGCAAAAGTTTGATTTTGAAGAGCAAAATACCATTTGGGTCTTTGAAGATGCTTGATGACTTCTAATAAATTTGAGTACAATCATGAGAATATTTTTTTTCAAATATATGGAACATGAACATTTAGAGAATGCAAATGCTAGTTAATTTATTTATCCCAATCCTTCAAAACAAGAAATAAGATTTTCAATGGTCATTTTTGTCACTTCATTGATCCGTGACCGAAACAGTCACCAATAGAAGTCTTACTTATACAGTGAAAGAAACTAACTTTTAAGATTATAAACAACTACTAGATAAGAAAGGCAAAATAAAACAATGGTTACAACATGATCCCAAATGAAAAGACTAATAAATAAAAGAAGCAAGAAATTTGTCATCTAAGACTAACTGAGGTGGTCAACATGTGGTGAGATCATAATATAAAAATTCAAGTCAATCCACCCAACTAAATTAATAAATCATTAAACTAATATTTTTATGGTTCAACTACTATTTTACCATTAACTCTTAAACAAATATTTTGATCAATTCAATTATTAGTTCGTTTTTCAATACCTTAAATAAAATGTAGAGATTCATGGTTCAAATATTCTTAATATAACTTAAAAAGATGAAAAAGCAAGCAAGCAATCTTTGCAGGGAGCTACCCATCTGTTATTCAGTCAGGAATGTTCATTACCTGTCATAACAACATAAATGAACCACTTTGATTAGTTATTTTTACTGTAATGAACTTAAATGTTAATTTGAACAAAAAATTTCTTCTAAAGGATACTTTATTTAAATAAGTTTTTAGCAAGTTCCATTTTTTTGGTTATTTTAATTTATGAGAAAATTTTGGGTCTCTTTGTAATTTTTGTTGGGTCTGTCTTGTAATTTTCTTGATGCTGTTCTTGCAATTTTCCCAAAACTCCCTTGGTCTGATGGTATTTCTTCGCGTGAAAGAAACTAAAACAGAGCATTCGCGTTTGTTCTTCACCGACTTTGAGTTCTCTCTTCTCATCACCGTCGAACTCCTTCTCTCCACCTTCGGCTTGCTCTTCTTCTCACCGGTGGCATACATCTGACTGGACTGGTGCGTTTCCGGCAACTGGAAGTGGGTCACCAGAATTAGTTCTTCCTTCTCTGTCATTTCGTGTTTCTCAATCCAGGATTGAGCGTCTGTGCGTGTGTATGTTATCTTCAATCCTTCTTGTTTCTCATCTTCGATAAGCTTAGTTGTTCTTTTTTTTTTTCTGGTCTTGATTTCTGGTTCTGCCTACCTTATTTGAGTTGCAGACCAAAGCTTTCTATCTTCTTCAACGTCGACCACATGAAGAACCTGAACCGTTATGGCTGCACTCAAGTTTGAGGTAACTAGTTGATCTTCTCTTCCCCCTCTTCGATGACAACAGCAACATTAAATCATTTTTTCAGCCGTCAGGTGCAGCCTCTGTTTCTCACTGTTATTGTAGTTTTTTAGTTAGGATTAAGGAGAAATTTTGGTTGATGCTGGAAAATGGTTTTATAGTGATGATGAGCTGAAATATAATTATGGAATTAAAGGTTGAGAGTTGTGGAACTTACTTGGATGCTTAATTATTGGAGAATGCCCTCAATGTATTTGTATTTGTAGATATATTTTAAAGAATACACGGAGGGAAAGAAAGTTGTTGAATTGCATGGTTATTTATCTCTTAATTTTGTCAATAATAAATAAATGCCTTAAGGTATTTGTAAAAATTTGTCGTGGGAAAATTTGGTGAATTGTGAGTAGTTAAGATTCACTTGAAAAAGTATCTATAATTTTGATTCAAATTGTTAATTGAAAATTTTATAATATCAAAGTGGGAGAAATAATTATGTATCATGTTTATTTTACATTTTTAATCTAGAGGAAGTTTAAGAATAATTGATATCATTTATTATAATTTATGAATTAATATAAGTCATAAGGAAGTATGAGGATAAATGAAAAGCTATCAAATAATTTAACTAACTTAACTATATTTAAAACATAATTTGTTTGAATATTATTGTTAATATTGTTTAGATTGAATTTTAATGCACAACTAGTGATTGAAAATTTTCTTGATAAATGATTTTAAAATTACGATTCATTGGTTAAGAAATCAGGAACACCATTAGAATTAAAGTAAAAGATTAAGAGAAGCATACTTTAGAATTTTGAAAAAATTATTAGGTGAGTGGGTAACGTTTTGAATAAATTTTTAGTAAAGTGTTTATAAAATCTCTTTATTTAAAATTTTACTATTAATCCTTTATAAATTGTATAAATATTCTTGTTTATCTTATTTTTATAATAATTGTTTTATTGATGAAAATGTGTTAATTTTAGTGATAGTTTATATCGTTGACAAATAATAATGAAAAATAATAGTTGAATAGTATTTGAAAATGGAAAAAATTTGAAATTGTTTTCTTGCTTCATATATGCTTAATTTTATTAAGGGGGACAAAGTTCAAAACGTTGGATGCTAACGGCAGTTCCATTAGCTATTGGGGCGTCATATTACACCCAATTAGCAAGGTGCTTATAGGAGATGATATCCCTGTGCAAAAGCCAACGCACGTGGATCGGAGCGATGGTATTTGTAAGTACTATACTCACGCTTCTTTTCATAGGCTTCATGTCTGTGCTTTATTCGTGGCTTTTGCCACGCTTGTTTCATGGCTCTCAACTGCACTTGACTAGTTACTTATCCTTGTAAATTGTGTGTCAATACTTGATTAGTTATTTACTTTCATGAATTGTGTGTTCATGCTTGTTATTCGTTCTAATTAAACCCTCCTAAATCTAAACTAAAATTTATCATTTTTTTAGTAATTCTCTTAAAGTACTTTATCGAACTGCACTATTATTTTAAATCTTTATATTTTATGAGCAGTAAAAAATTTTAATATATATATGTAATTCTACCAATATTGTCAAATTTCACAGTCATATTATTATGAAAAAAAAATCATTATTTATTTCTAATTTAAGGATAATTCATTATTTCATTAAATCATTTGAAGTTAAATTTATTATTTATTATCTTCATGTTTTCTTTATTATAATTTTGATTGGAACGCTACTTATCGGTAATTTCTTTAGTCTAGATATTGTAGCTAAACCTGCGCTTCCAACTGACCATTGAGGGCCCTTCTTGCTTTTTGGAAAAGGGAAATACATGGTGATTATTCTTTTTGGTGAAACCTTATATTATATTTTGTAAATTATAAGTTAGTGTTCTACATACATCATAATTAGGTCCTGATCTTATTTTATTATTATGTAAATTACTGCAATGAAACTAGTCTCCTTGCTAGTCTGGTTGGTAAATTCTATTCTATTGTGAAAATTTTAGGAGATTTGAATTATAGAGGAGAATCTGCATTAAAACTTTACGAACTTTATTGTTATATATATAGCTCCAACTCTCTTCATATTTTATGCCGGTCATACCTTTAGTATTAGGTTGTGACAGATGGTGTTAGAGCTTAAATTTCTATGACTATGTGAAGCAATTATTCTTCTTTAAAGTTTTAATTATTATTATGAACTCGAGCATTATAATAATTGAGATTTTATTAAAAGTCCCATTAGAAAGTCCTAAAAGAGTCTTTTCTTCCTTAATTATTGTGCTTCCTATATAACTATTGTATTTTGAATTAAAAATTTCTCATATTTCCTTGGATAGTGAGAATGCCGCCTAGCGTCATCCCTCTGGTAGAAGTTCCACTAGCAGTAGGACATTTGATAAGTCCTCTACTCCACAGAATGAATCACCCCTTCGTGGTTGAGGGCAGGATCTTAAACAAGCTAGAATTAAGGGTGGTCAACCCCATAGACATATTTAAAAGATTTTATCTAAGGTCGAACTTTCGAACCCTCAATCTTAAGAGGGTGCTTCATCATCTGCTCATGGCATTGAAAGAGAAATTGCCAAGCTACTAAAAAAAGAGATTACCATGACAAAATTAACTGATTTTATTAAGCTGAATCCTCTTACTTCTCTAGTACACTTGTTTACTAATGTAGTTTGTGATTTCACTGACTCGCTTCTCGTGCTGTTTCATGTAGCGCTTCGTCTTGAGCATTTTGTCTTGATTTACTTGGTTTTGATGCTTTGTACATACCCTTTAGGATTAAGCCCCCCCTATTCTGTACCCATATCATATCGCAATCAACTGCAGCTTTAATTCTTTTGAGGTTTCCCGAGTCTGTAATATTGGGTTGTAAATATGTGAAGATGGAAAGTTGAAGACTCCTGTTATGCTGCCTAACTAATAACCCATTAAAAGTTCAGAAAGACTAAATCATGTACTGCATTTGCGTTTTTATTCTATGAAATTGTTTTCTCCGGGATTCTGTATATATAGCTTTCTCGCTGATGGGATTGTGTCAGAAAATATTCAACATCATTCTTGTTACATATTTGCTGAAATTCTAACAAGTTAACTGCCTTTGCATGCAGATGGGTTCTGTAGAGAAGATAGACCCTAATTTTGATGAGGAGGTCCCTTTTAGCTCCTCAACAAATCCAGGGAAAGTCCATGCTTTTCAATCTGAGGACAACTCGTGTGCTTTCTTCCGTGAAATTGGCCACCTCATCCATCTTCAAGCCAATAGAGATAAGACCTATCAGGAGCATATACATTGTTTTAATTAAAGTGAAGATCAACATGATTTGTCAGAAATTTAACTGTCATTAATTCAGTGTTTTAAGACCTACCTGTTATTCTCTATAAATTGTATTGAATAATTCCATTTTTGGCATTGATTTCGACTTAAAGAGGGAGGTTTAAGCTTGAAAAAAATTTAAAAAAAAATTGAACCCATTCAGACCTCATTTCAAGAATGAACACGTAATACACTAAATATACAGCCTACATATTGTCAACTAATAAATGACAACTATAGCATAGTGCTTGTTTGAATTTGAATTGAAAATCAATCATTTGTACGGAAACCACACTTCCACAAAAATTACTCAAACATCTATATTATATATTAAATTAATTATAAATTCAAAATTAGGTTTTTTCTTTTAAATATCCAAACACTCATTATACAGGCTAAAATTAATTATAAATTCAAAATTATTGTTTTTAAAAAATATCCAAACATCTTATATTATGTCAACATCAATTATAGACTAAAAAATATGATTTGTAAAATAACTAATATGATTTTTGAATAAATTTTTAGAAATGTATATTGTATAATTAAAAAATTAAATTGAGAAGCTAATAGCTTATGAGAAAACTATAATTTTAAGTTCATAATTAATTTTAATATATATAAAAATGTTTGGATATTTTAAAAAAAAAACCATGATGTTGAGTTTATAATTTATTTTAACGTGTATAATGAGTATTCAAATTTAAAAAAAAAACATAATTTTAAATTCATAATTGATTTTAATATGTAACATAGTTGTTTGGATATGCTTTTACAAAACTATAATTTTACCTTATTTTCAACTCTACTTTTCAATTTTGCTTTTCAATTCTGATTAAAAATTTTATAAATCAATTATATACCACATAACATAATTAATTATATTCTAAATTAATCATATTAATTAATTTTTTTATAATTAATTATATTCAATTAAAATCCAAACATACTCATAAATTATGAGGTATGTGAATGTCACATACATAAATCCATTGGGCCAAGACTAGGTGACACAGCACTAATGCTCAAGCAAAACTGAGCCGAAAACAAAGATTAACCTACAGCATCCCCATGAGTTAATTATACTACAGTACTACACCAGAGGCCGAACAGCAAATTGGACAAATTCCAATGCAACTACCACTAAGATCACAATGAAGACTGCACTGTAACTTAAATCCCTCCAAAGTATTGTTTGGTTTCCTCCACTCCTGATTCTCCTTAAATCCAGTCTGTATGAAAAAATCAAAATGCAAGAGAAAGACCATTTAGTCAACAGAAAAGGCATTGACCAAGTAAAGTACCATGAAAAATGTCTTGAGACACCAAGTGAAAAACTATTTTCTCTTCTCTTTTCTTTTCTATTGGCCTGAAAAACTATTGTTTGGAGAACATTTGACAAACCAAATGAACCTCTACTCTATTTTAGCTAATCCAAATAAAACATGACAAGATCAAATCCTTTATCTTCTTAATTCTTTTTGATCGTACCATTAATAAGGCCCATGTTTGTTTGAGGACCCCACAAATATTGGTCTGTCAATTAGGTTTTTCCTGAGCTACCCTCCATAAAACAGTCTTCGATGAGACAAACAAGCAATTAATTTCCGATCAACTAATCATGAGGCAGAAAGTTGGAAACTACTAGCTTGTTTGTTTCCTCTACAGATCAGGTCAAAAAAGCAATTCAACAAGCCCGTTTAACCAATGCGTATGGCCATACCTTACTTCAATTAGTTGATGGTAGAAACACCCTTATGAGCTCTTTTGCAGTAACCTTTTTCCTACATGTAGGGCATTTGCCCTGTGCACTTATAGCAGCCTTAATGCAACTCTTACAGAATATATGACCACACCTTGTTGACACTTCCTCTATAAATGGGCCCATACATATTGGACAGCTAAAGACAGGCTCCATTGGAGGTTTAGATGACTTTTTATCGTTCCCCCACTGCAATAGTGAGTCAGGAAAAACTGTCAATACTGGATTCCGTAGGTAGAATCTTGTAACACTAAAACCAAGAAAATCCAGTTATGCTAAGATGATGAACTACACTAGGAACGTCATTGTTTATTATACCGATGGAGTCATTAACATCAATGGCAACAAAGATATAATAGACATTATATAGCTTTCCTTGTGTGAGGGAAAAAGTAAAGATTTTCCTTCCTTCATACTAAATATCCCCATAGAGGACCACTAAAGATTTTCAGATAGAGGGATGGTACTAAACTCCTATATCTGAAAGGACCCGAAGAAGACAAATTGACTCAACAATCAGAAAAAAGTACTCAAGTTCATGAACTTCTCTATCAAAGGGATCTCTAGCAAAGTGAAGATTCCAAGAAGAAGTACCCCCTTGAAAAGACTAAAACAACCAAACGAACAATGCAATGAAGACAGACGACATAAAATAAAACAACCAACTCTTTCTCCCTAGAATTGTTTATTGTTCTACTTAGAGTTTTCTTCCCCTAACAAAAGTCAATGAAATGGAAGTGTAAAATTACAACCAAGAAGGGCCTAGATGCAAAGGGAAAATGGACAAACAGAAGGTATAAATATGGGACCCAGGAAGTAGTATGTGTGGAACGAATCTCAAGCCAAGGCACGTTTGCGCGTGAGTGATAGGTCCCGACCCACTGTTGCCACCAAAACACACACAGAGAGACATAGAGGATGGCAAAATGGCAGAAAATGGAGACTATTGGTCCAGAAGAAAACAAAAAAGTTTAGATATAGAAGGATAGCAGAATGAAGAAAAATCAGAGAGTAATGACCAGGGTAGGACAGAGCAGTTAAAATGATTAGATACAGAGAACCTTCTTGGGTGGAGAGAGCCAACCTCTCAAAAGTTGGCAAATCTATCGTGTTCTGTTCTTAAAGCGTATGATGTAGTATTACATGTGTTTGTTGAGTAGTAAAGGATTTGTAGTCCTCTTGTTATTCATCTTTGTCAGTGTATGAAATATGACATGTTTTAAAATATTGTTACCTCAGAGCTGCCACTGCCTTCCAAGTTTATATATTGATCAGTATTGAGAATTGTTTGGCTAGAAGAATCTCTTCCGCAATAATTGGGAGCATTTTCAGCTATATGACTCTGATCTGCAAATATCATATGAGAGAGGGTGTCAGAAAGAAAAAAATAGTTAACCACATAAGTCACAGGAAAGAAAATATCAATGATTTGACAAGGAACAAGTCAACAATATGTTAAACAAAATGTCAATGAAGCTTCTAAATAATGAACAAGGCAGATTAATGGAATAATATGTTACCAAAATCCACATCAACTATAGTCCTCCCACGATTCCTTCTTGAATTGTTTTTAGCCTAAATTGAATGAGAATTGCATAAATAAGACTAGCACCCAATATCAAACATAGAATGACATGATCAAATCAACAGTTTATCGAAGGGAGAGGTATACTTCAGCAAAAGCTCTTGCTGTGCATTCTATAACATCATCATCAATGGCCTCCACATCAATAGGCTGTACAACTTGTGGTTGCTGGACAGCTTGAACTAGCTGGGGTTCAGGTGGAATGGAAGGTCCCTCTTGTTCCCGATTCTCACCAGGTGGAGCTCTATTAAGATCCAAATCCAAAACAGCCTTCCTTCGTCGGTAACTTCTGAGAGCATGCCCCCCAACAGAACGAGTACTCATCTTGAGTACTGATACAACTGCACCCAAACCACACAACGTTAAAAAAAACAAAACAAAAAAAAAACTATGTCACGCAAAACATCATCATGCACAACAATCGATAAAATGAGTCAAATCTGGGCCCCTAAAAGAGGCAAAATTTACTTGGCAGGAGATAATGGTGAGAAAAATAAAACAAAAATGATGATTCCGATAATTGAAGAGCAATGTGTGGATCCAGATGCTCATCATAACAAGAAGTCAACCTCTGCATTGCAGAAGAAATAATTATTTTTTGAGGAAAAAAAATCATTACATATACAGTAATATAAATGATAATTTATTCTACTTTCAGAATAACTAGATATATATGACCGGCTATAAGTGTGAAATAATTTGAATTCTTCGTAGGCACCAACATAAGAAGACATAATAGCCATACAAGACTTGGGTTGCAGCAGAATCAGCGATCCCGAAACAATCCTTGATTACAATACAAACTTAGTGAACTAAATATCTAGGTTATAAAAATTTTAAACAAACTCTATTCAAAGTATAAATAGATAAAATTCATGTCCCTGACTAGAAAATTTATGATCGACATAAGCAATTAATGATAAAGGAAAATAGTTACCAACCATCGTGGCCGTCAAAAAGTAGGTAAATAGGGTAAAGCGTTGCAGAAAAAAGGACATGTGAAAAAGTTCGTAAATTGGCATAAATAAAAATTCAGTATACAAGGAAAAGAAAAGTTCGGGTGTCTCATATTTGGCAATTTTGTTGAACAATTTTTAGCAGTAGGGTAAGAAAAACTGCAACTTTCCAGCAAACTTTTCTGTACAGTTTTCTTTTGAATACTCTGGAATCAGCATCGAATCATCCCAATGAATTAATCAACTCTTCTTTGGCTAAATGGATAACGAAGCCTTCAGAGATACTATCCAATGAACCCTAGCAACCCGTGTCATCAATTCAAGCATACATTTCCTTTGCCTAAGAGCATTCATTCATTTTAGAAAATCGCTATGGCAAAAAAAAAAAAAAAAAGCACACTCTGATACCCGGGGGGGGGGGGGGGAACACTAATTGCTGAACATCGTGTGTGAAAATCGGATCACGACGAATCAAAGTCGACAACAATAACTAAAAGACAATAAAAATAAACAAGAAAAGCACGGTTTTCAGCAACGATGTCCAGAAATTGAGATAGAGTACTACACACCAAAACCGAAAATCACAATCCACAAAACAAAACCAAGCGTCAAGACAACTCAAGCAAAACTAGAGCCGGGAAAAAAGCAAGTCAGAACTCGAAGTACGAAAAACGGACCTTCAATCGCAGCTCCAAATCGCGAAATGGGACGAATGCTCAGACTTCTCAAGCATTCAAATCACAGCAAGAATCTGAGCCGCTATCGCAGTTTAGGGTTCAGAACATCCAAAACGGCTGACCGGGCCTTCTAAATAAGTAGAAGAATGAATGAGAGACGAGAGTGCGGCAATGTTGTGTTGCGCAGTGTTGGGAACTGAACGGAGTTAGGGAACAAGACGCCAAGGAAGTCGGTGAAAGTTGTCCACGTGGCGCATCCTCTGTCGTTCCATGCACGCGTGACGATGACTGGATCGCTATGATTTCAGTACTTCTCGCACGAACGAATCATTTGAATTTTTGGAAACTATTCATCTTCTTGGGAGGTCACTTCATCATCGTGGTCGTGCTCGTGGGGACGAGCGGGAAGTAACGGAACGGGATTCTTTTTAAGGGGAAACTACACCTAATGACCCAAATATCAAAATATTTCATTTTTAACATCTCCTCTCCATCCCACTCCCTTGCTGTGTTATATAAGCTGATGGCTCATGAGTAAATTTCCTCTCTTGCGACTACTTAGTTGGTGTACCTTAATAATTTTTTAATTTTATTTATTTTTAAATGCAAAAACTTTAAATATAAATTATACTCTTTCTTGTAGTCAATAAGTCTAAACAGAAATAATATTAAAAAATATAATTAATACCCCATCAAATATATTATATCAAAATTCATCAATTTTTTATAGAAAATGCTTTCCAATATAAACAAAAAGGAGCATTCATTTGAATTTCTATCTTTTTCTTTGTTTGACATAATTATTTTTCTTTTTGGGTTAAAAACTAGATTTTGCATCTTTCGGCATGATAATTTGATCCATAATTTATCATCACCGGTAAGGTACAAATTACAATAGCTTTTCCCTAGAGAGTACAAAATCATTAAAAAAAAAGTATGGATTAATATGGATATCTAATTTTGAGGGAAGTAGATCCTCTCCACATCCCTCTTTCACTTTCTCCTTATCTTGTCTCCACTTTTAGATAAAAATATAAATATAAATATAAATGATTCAGATTTCCACATAATAATTATTATATTGTATTCAAAAAATAAATAAATTCAAACTGTTAAAATTTAAAATGCACAGTTTATAATTATAATAAAGTTATTGATCAATTTACAAAATATTTTAATAACAGTAATGTGGTTATGAATTAAATGTGAATTGCTCAAGTTAAATTTTAATAATTTAAATTTATTTATTTATTTTTAAATGATATTATGATGATTATTTTGTAAAATAATTAAATTTTTATTTAAAAACAATTAAATTTATACCATTTATTTTGTTATTTAAGGGTGGAGATGGGATGAGGAAAGGACCCAGACCCAATTTTGAGAGTCTAGTGAAAATATAATAATTAATAAATATACTTATTTTAGAATCAAAATTATGTAATTATCATATTTTTTTTATCCAAAGCTTATTATTTTTCATATGCAAATGTCTGCTATTAATGCTGTTATTAATATATTCATCTGCTTTTTGTATTTGTTTTTGGCCTGTTTGCAAAATTGTTTTCAAATTACAATATTAAATCACGATCTAAGTTTTTCTTTTTGCCGAAGTTTTTCTAATTATTTTTTTAATGGAAGGCAAGTAATTATTTGAAAGATCACTAGGCATTATCAAAATCAAAAGTTTTTCTACTTTGATGAATAATAAATTATAACAATCTTTCGATCCTCACGTCCTCATCAATCATCATCTTGGGTATCCAATCTTCTACCCTAAGGAACAAAATTTTCTGTTACTATTCCTCATGATTCACCTTTATGTTTGGAGAATTTTATTAAGTTTAATTAGAATTAGAATCAGAGGGATATTGAAATAGAAGGAAAATAGTACAGATTTTATTATCAAAAAAATAGTACGGATTTTTTCCATTATTAGAAAATTGACAAGTTATCCTGATATCACGATGCTCCCTTCGTTTTTATTTATGAAAAAAATTATTACTTTTAATTTATTTTTTATATAAATAAAATTATATTTTTTTAATAAGTATTTATTATAAATTTTTTAAATTATCTTTCATAATTTTATTATTCATAATTATCAAAATAATTAATAAAAACTTAATTAATATAATTAATAAAAAATATTGTAGTTTAATTTTTTATTTTTAAACACAGTTAATATAATTAATTATTTTTTTAAATTGTATGATATAATTTTTTCTTTCATGCGAGTAGAAACAGGGGAGTGTGATCGAGGAATGTCTTGATGGTCCCACCCTTCATAAATCGTAATCATGGGTTTCGAGGAGACCTAATTCGCTTTATTAAAAGTGAAGGAGACCTAATTCGCTTTATTAAAAGTGAAGGGACTCTATTGCTAGACTATTTTATTTTAAGCTTGGTTTTGTTGAAATGTTTTTATGAGAATATGAACCAGTGGTGAAGCCAGGATGGAAATGGCAGGACTCCGGATTTAAATAAAAAGTTAATTATATATTATGCCGATAATTTAGTTTTAGGTTTTTTAAAATTTAGAATAAAAATTTCATAAAAATAATTTTACAATATGAAAAAAATCGTAAGATAAGAATTATCAAAAAAAAGTCAAAAGTGTATTAATTTTGGTCTTATTTAAAAGGTTTGAAGAGAAAATTTATTTGTCATGTTTATAAGTTATATCATTAAATTTTAATTATAAATTTTATATTTTATTTTTCATTAAGTGTTGGAGGGAAAAAAAAATAAATTATTAAAATATATATTTTTAATAGAAATAAAGTTAAGAATTTATTAAAATTTTTAGATAGTATTAATAACTTTAAAAAAATTCAATTCTGATAAAATATATATTAAAATTTCTTTTGGGTAGTTTGAATTACTTTCAGAAAACATGCTCCCTCCTATCATATTTATAGGACATATTTTAAAAATAATTTTTTATCTAAAATGTAGAACACCTTATAATGACTAAATTACTTTTTCCAATGTTACTATTTCTTAATTAGTATGAAAGTATTTAATATAGTTATATTATTATTTAAAGTCAAGAATAAAAATACATCTCATTCTTTTAAGATATTAAGAGAAAAAACTAAATTTTTTAAAATAAATAAAACAGTTAAAAGTATTATACAATAAGGACCAGAAATAGTATATTTTTAAATGAAATGTTTTCATCAAACATCTCTAATTTAATAATCAAATAACAATTAGGTAGATTGAGAATAAAATCTAAAAAAATATATAGGAGATCTATATTTTGTAACTATTGATTCTATAGCAATTTTGTATAGATTTTTAAAATAAAAAATATTTGTGTATTTAAAATAAAATAGAAGGCATGTTAGTTTATCTTACTTATATAAATATTTAAGTTCTACTCTTTTTTTAAATTCAAAGGTGATTTTAATCATGCATCAATAATAAAAATATTTTTATAAATCAATCTAATATAAAATTTATATCTATTCAACATAAAAACATTATAATTATATTTGTTTTTCTTTAAAATAAGGGGGGGCGCCATTCAACCCACACGTGCCACACATTACATGTACTTGATTAAGATTTGCGATGCTGAAACCAGATCTAAAAAGAAGCACAAGAGATGAAGGGAATGGGGTCATTTTAGTATTTTTCTTATCTTAATTAATATCAAATTAAATACAAAAATAAAATTATTTTTATCATTATTGATGTCATACCAAACAAACTCATGGTATCATTACATTATATTTCACTCCTTTCCTTTACATTCTCTCTTGACCAAATTGGCACTAAATATATATTTCCTCCATTTTTATATATAAAAAAAATTATATCATATAGTTTAAAAAAATTAATTAATTATAATAATTATATTTAAAAATAAAAAGAGTAGACTAAAATGCTCCATATTAATTAAAATAAGCATACATTAATTATTTCTTGTTAATAATTATGAGAGATAATTTAAGAAATTTGTAATAAATGCTTATTGAAATAGGTAATTTTACTTATATAAAAAATAAGTAAAAAGTGATAGTTTCTCTTATAAATAGAAATGGAAGGATTATTATTATTATTATTATTATTATTATTATTATTATTATTATTATTATTATATCAAAGATAGAAATAAGAGTGAAAATGGCAATGGAGCGAGGATGAAAATTTTCTTGCTTAATTATTATTATTACTACTATTATTATTATTATTATTACATCAGAGATAGAAATAAGAGTGAAAATGGCAATGGGGCGACGATGAAAAATTTTCTTACTTCACTTATATCAAATACTGCATCGTTAAAATATTAATTTCCTATATCAGCATTAAATGAAGATAAAAGGAAAAAGTTGTAATAAATATTCAATGTAATGCCTTATAAAAAGGATCACAAAATCCTTCTTCGAAAGTATGTTATAAATGTGAGAGGAGGGAATAACATGTAGGGTTAGAAGGGTACATTTTTGCTCTTCATTTTTCTTCATTACTCATCTTGACCTTGGGATGAAATTTGACAATTCAAATTTAATATTTTACGAAAATAAATTTTGTTCATTTTTTCCCTACAGTTCTGAAATGTTCTGTGAAATGTTAGCATTTTATATTTATTTATTTATATAATATAATATTTCAATAATAGTTTTATAAATAGTAAATATCTTATTATTCAAGTTTCATTGAGTAGTGGAGTATAAGGAAAATAAAGATATGACAGGTAATTTTTAATAACGTTAATTATTTTCTTGAAAATAAAACCTAGTCTGGGAGATGCTTTGAGAGAACGTTATCTTTCAAGTAATTGATCTATGCCCTTTTTGGTCATGCTGATAAGGAAAGTCTATATCATATTTTGCTTTTTGTGATTTGGTTAGATCCTTTTAGTTTGAATGTATAAGCATCATGACTTCTTCCTTTTCCCACATTGGTCTCATAAGCAACTAGTTATTGAGTTAATTTCTGTTCCTGCACTCTTGCAAGAGGTGTGATTAAAGCTCCGTTTGGGAACCCTACATTTAACTTTTTGCAAGCATTTTGGTACTTTAAAAAAGTTAAAAGCTGTGTGAACTAAAAATGTGAGATGAATGTATGTTATGAAATTACATCTCAAATGTGATTGAATGTAGTTTTAGAGGATAAAACTTTTGATAGCTTTTTGAACTTACATTTAGAATGTAACTATTTATTTTACCTTACTACCCTTTTAACTATGTTCTTCTTTCCGGTTTGCTCTACCTCTCTTCTTCTATATCGGGAGGCCACGATCAAATGCTCCAATATAACATGGCTGTTGTTTTTTTTTAACTTATTTCTCTTAAAGTGTTTTGTTTTGTATTGTTATTGTTAATTTTTAAATCAAACATTTAATGTTATTAATTTTTC